AGCCCTCGACCAAAATGAACGACCACCACCTAGAAGCTCCGACGAGGGTCTAAATCCGTGTAAGATTTACCTAAATAGCCAACAGGACACCATCTAGCCTTATATCCCAACCTAGCCCCGAAAATACAACCCTTGACACTTAACAAAACCCTCGGCTGAACATTAAAAGTATTACCTTTAAGTGGTAGGGTACTCCTTCAAAGCCAAACGAAACCGGCGGCAAATCTCATGCAATGGAGGCCTCGAACTCAGGTAGTAACGATCAAATTCCTCCCTCTTCAATTGTGATGTCGATGACTGAGGATGATTTTTACTGTGTTTTTTTTTCTGTTTAATTGTTTTGTTTCCTGCTCTGTTTGGTTTGTTCAATCTTGATGTCGAATGACTGAGGATGATTTTTTTTCTGTTTTCCTTTTTTTGTTCTATCGTGTAGTAAAAAGATGGTCTACCCTCCCCTCCTAATGCTCTCTAACTCTATTTTTCTGTGTAATTTCTCTGCTCTGTTTTCTTTTTTTTTTGATCCCTTTCCTTTTTTTGATCCCCCCCTTTTTTCTGTGTGTAATCCTTTGATTTATTCCTCTGGTGGTTAATTCCCAAAAACTGAACCCTTTACAGTTTTTCCTTACCCCAGTATCGTGCTCCTTAACTACCAATAATGGCTCTCACTTTTTGTTAACTGCCTTCTCACGTTTATTTCTGGTTTTAACTCTCCAGAACTGCTTTCATTTGAAAATGGTAAAGGCCCCAGACAAATTAAACATCTACACATACATTTAATTTGTCTTGATCTGATCTTCATGGGGTATGCTATCCTCAATGAATCAATCTTCAGATTTCTTCAAACCTACGCATAAGGAAATCACACGCTAAGTCGATGACTTAGTGAGGCAAAACTAAAGAGTACTAAACTCTACAGATGAAATATTTAGATATTTTAGTGAAACAAGGAATTCCAAATTATTTTCCATATAAAAAAGATAGACTTATGTATATTATTCATTTTGTATAGCTTTATTTCCAAATGCCCAAGTATACTATTGAGAACTCTAGGTATTTGAGTACATTGAGGTTGTGTACTAATGCTTTCACCACAGCTCATAATTTGTACCGAAGTGCAACATAATTGTCCCGAAGGGACCACATAGGTTTACACCGAAGTGCCACATAATTATCCCAAATGACCACATAGGTTTGCAACGAAGTGCCACATAATTATCCCAAATGACCACATAAAACCCTCGACTCTTGGCATGCCAACTATACATGTAATCCTCACATATATACCTTGGGCTTTTAACCACATAATTATTTTTCATTCATTATTCAAAGTATCTCTTATTCACATATGCACTTTTACATTAGGTCTTTTCAGATACACATGTTCAAAGATCACATTTCCATAATCATATACCCATAGACATAAAATATATCTTATATAATATAATTTAAATAAAACATTGTAAAATATAAGATAAAAGAAATTGAAAGGTTTTTGATCGAAAACACTGAAGTTGGCTTATCGCTAGCCTTCCTCAATTATAATACAAAATCGAGAATTTGTATTCACATTTGCCTCACTGAAGTCCTAAAGAAGCCCTTAATACTTTTGATTGAAACTTATAATGTCGAGCTGACCGGAAGTTGATTATGTTCAACCACTACACAAAACAATCGAAAATCAATATCATACTTCGAGCCACTTATATCCAATCATAATAACTTAAGCTGAAAGAAACACTCAAATTCTCATTTCATGTTTAGTAGTATCGGTACTACCACTATAGTACCAATACTTCCCTTCAATGGTATCGATACCCCCTACGATACTTATACCATTCTGACGTTCTAGAAATTTATCTTGAAAATGGTATTGATATTATACCCTTATTATTGATACTCCCAACTCAGTATCGATACCCTCTTCAACCAGTACAGATACCACCCTTCAAATTTCCACTAATTTTGCCTTGAAGTATCGATACTATTCTTCCAGTACCGATACTCCATTCCCATAATTGATATTTCCATTTCGAAAATCAACCAAAACTTACTAAATCTCTTACTTTTATCCCTCATTAAGCCTTCAAACTCAACCTTATACATCCAAACCAACTTGTCTTCATTTACTACTCTTAAACATATAAAATCTCACTAAAACTCTTACATCTACAAATCATATAATGTTTTCAACCAAGTTCTTAATCATTTCTATTACTCCTAATTTTTTATTTTGCTTATTGACAAGTCAAATTCATCACTAAAACTCCAAAAACTACATCATATCAAATATTCATTTCAAAACCCATTTTACAAATCCACTTCTAATTCACTCATTTTGTTGTTTTAATCCTATACAAGCTTTCTTTAAGCTTATATAAAACCCAACCTTTCAATACCAACCCAAAAATTGAAGGAACCAACAAATTTACAAAACTTACCTTTGATGGTGGAGTTCACGACACAAAAAAGAGAACAAGAAATGGGTTCCAGACTTTCCCCTATCCACGTGTGTATCCCTTAATAAAGGAGATAATTATCCTTTAACAATAAAATACCATAACTCCCTTTCCACTAATCCAAAATTGCTTTCAAGCCCTACACAAAAATTCCACCATAAATCCTTGAATTTATCAAACAATTCTAATTTAACCACTGAGTTTAAAATTCATACATTCTGGTCACTAACCCGATGATTGGGATGTTACAGTCTCACTGTTTCTATAATGACTTTTTGGTTAGAAAATAACATGTCTTTCCTAAACTGGGGATTTTCTAAGTCAACCCTAGTATTAAACTCATGTCACCTTCTCCTATGGCCCTCTGTTTCAGATTCATTGCACATGTTTCAGAGTCACTTGCATTGTGCAATGAATCTGAACCCTTACTGTCATCTTCACTATTTATTCCCCACCTTCATTGCCTACAGTAAATCCATGTATATCCTTATCAACTCTCATAGGCACATCACAAATTTCATCTTCACCATCAGCTATCATTCTCACTATCCTCAAACAGACTTTCAGAAGTTTCACTCTCATAAGCTATATATTCAGGATTTTCTGGAATAGCAACAATAGTTTCACTTTCAATTTTTGTATGACTCTTATGTTTATGTTCAACTACTTCTTCAATGTAAACATGTACATACTTATTCCTAGGGATATTACCTAACATACTCACCACATCAACATTAGTTTTTAGTGGTTTTAGAGTTAATACACCCCTGGTTGTTGCCAATAAATTTCATGTGGATTAACATATCCTAATTGCTTAATGATATCACATATAACAAGCATAGACATAGAGTCAATCTCACACATATCAAAGAAGTCAATCTTTTTACAAGTATATTCCACCATGGGGTGATTAACATTAACAACAAATCCACCATGGTGGACCATTATGGTGCAATACTCTGATGATGTTGTTGTGACATATATAAAAATACATTAATTTAAAGATGTTGTGAATTAAAGTAATAAATAAATTATTAATTAAAGTTGACTAACATGAATAATGTTCACAAACAATATAAAAACATAGTTGCAAACAACTTTTAACCCATGTGGTCCTCATTATCATTAATACTCAACCAACAAAAAAGGTATTAAACTATTGTCAAAACAATGTGGGGATCATAAAAACTGTCTGTGTCATCCTCATTATCATTAATATTCAACCAACACATACTAGCCAACAAACATATGGTGAACCATAGCATATATCCACAATAAAGCAATACAAAGCAAAACAAACGTATAAAAACCACAACAAATTTTAAAACCCTCAACTATACAATCAAACTTGAATTCCATATATTAACAGAAAATTTTAAAACCCCTAAAATGAATACTAGAAAACCCTAAAATTTTTATTTTAAAAATTAAAACCCTAATTGTTTTCATGTGTCACAGTCGCAACATATAATGAAGAATTTCTTAAACACTCACAGTATGTCATGACAGCAATACGCTCCGAGCGCAACACATGACTTCTCATAATTCGCAAATAGTTTGGGTCATGGTCGATATCAACCCCGAACGCAAAAAATCTCTTTTTTAAACCCTCATTAGACCTTAAACCTCTCAAATCGTGTGAAGAAAAGCTCTCAACTCGAATTAGGGCTAAACGATTTGGGAGAATTTTGGGAGAGTGTCACGGGTAACTTTATTGTACCCAAATTAATTTTTTTACTTCATTTCTGACTTGCCATTTACCCTATTATTAATGAATAAAATATTTTGTATATATTCTACGTCATAACGTCGTGAGAAGATTAACAACAAAGTGACCAAATTTTTGCAATGTATAAAATTTAGTGAGCAAATTGAAAACATTGAAAGTGAGATGAGTTAAATAGGAGAGAGAGTAAATTCAGTGATGATCTATGTAATTTACCCTTAAAATTATCTCATTCAACTCTTCCAAAGGTCGAACTGTTTAAATGGTTAGTAATTCATGGTAGGATTCTTGCGAAATCAGAGTTAATGAAGGGAATCTCTACAATATCGACAGGGCCGGTCCAATGAGTTTTAATGCCCTGAGCGAGATAATAATTTTATGTCCCTATACTTGTACTGTATAATATACAAAACATAAATATTTTTTTAAAAACAAAAATGTAATAGAAATTATAGTGAAACAATATCAAAACTAACACAAACCAAAACCTACAATGCTACAAATATCACCTAAAATGATGCCTTCGTGCATTTTTTGAAGCAAAAACTTCTATTATTTTACGATAATCAATACTTTGTAAAAATTGACTTTCGATGCTTAGAATTACTAATCTGTTCAATCTATCTTGAGTCATCGTGTTTCGAAGATAGGATTTCAAGAGTTTCAATTTTGAAAAACTATTGAATATCACCTAACAAAACAAAACCAACAAAAAAAAAAAAGCAGCGGCGAGAATATTGTAATGATTCAAGCACGATGACTCTAACAAGCGGCGAGAAACCAATCTCCAGCGTGATATCGACATCCAACTCATCAACTTCTCTAATTTGTAAATGGCTGATGGCGATGATGTGCTTAAATGGGCTTGCTTCTTTGCCTTCCATTGCTTTCGTTGAATCTCGGGGCTGCAACAGATGAAAAACATGATTTTGAAACCGAAGATGAGCGAACTGAAAACGAAATCAAGAAGTTTTTGCTATGTTTTACTCATACATACTAAGTCCATTAGCCTCAGAGGTCCTCATGATTCGCAGCCTTCGAACGGAGATGACAAACATCCTGAAACATCACAAGGAACCAACGCATACTATAAGCATCATTAGCATGGAAACCGATAAACAAATCGAACTACATCCGATTCAGTTTTTGGCTACTGCTGTTGCTTTTGAATTAAATTTAAGTTTACCAATCAACTTCATATCGATATGAATGGACAATTAGAATTAGGTAAAGCTGGTAACACATTCATTCATATTTCATACCTCCATGGGACATCTCCTACAATCATCCAGTCTCCCTCTTTTTCTTCATAAGTCAAAACAAATTCAGATGATCCATCCAAAAGCATAGAAGCCACGGTTAATGGTTCCTTCTCTGCAACGGTAAAACCGAGTTTAATTGCATTAGCATCTCAAGACAAAGCAGAGAAAATAGCACTACAACACAACTAAAGAGGAAGTTACCAACTGAATTAGCAGATCTAAGGAACATATCTTCAAGTGCCTGAGCCAAGCTCTGATAGGAAGAATGAGAATTCAAATCAACTTTCCTTCCTATTGGAATCCCATCCATGTTCACCTTAACAAACCCAAGATGGCCTTTCTCATTACCATTGTGATTGAGCTTCTTCTTCAAATCATCTTTGGGTGTGTCTTCTTCACCACCTCTTTGTGCCTTTGCTCGGTTCACCAAGCTGTTCACCCTATAAGTTCTTATGGGTGGCCACCCCACAACTTGGCTGCTTGCAAAATCAAGCATTAAAAATGAAAATATTAATACTAGAAAGAATTTCATCAAACATGTTATAGGCAAAGCAGATATTGATAAAAGAATCTGAAACAAGGTTTACCTGACAGCAGTAGGGGAACCACTATCATGGGAGACAGATTCAGCAGATCTCTTGGTCCCAGAAACAGCAACAGAAGAAGGACCTCCATTGTTGGTTCTTTGAGAAGCCACTGAAGAAGAGAAGTCCTTTGCAGTCAAGATTCTGCCACACTCTCCCCAAGAAGAATTAGAAGCCTTGGTCTTCCCTGTAGCACCACCACCAAGGCTCAGCCCCAACCCCAACTCCAACTCGCTCTCAGCCTCAGAAACAACTTCCACTTTAGACAACACCGCAGATTCATTAGTGGAGACCACAGAAGAACCACCACCGCCACCGCCAAGTAAAACTAACCCACCTTCCTTCACCAAACAAGGAAAGAAACCCAAAGTTCAAAACTGGTTACAAGTGAAGAAAAAACAGAATATTTAGCTAGTTTTAACAGAGGGAAATGAAAAAGAAAAGGCTTTTCCTTCGGGGGGAAGAGGAGAGGGCAAAAAGAAGGGAAGATGGTGGAGGAAGTGATGATATGGGGCCCATATGTCTGGTAATGCGCCTAGCACTCTCACCGGACACCACTCTCTTTACTTTAGAGGGGGGAAAAGACATGTTTTTTCCCTAGACATGATCATGCCTCTTTAGAATCTGGTTTTCCTGATGTTTGTTGAAAAATATAGAACCAACCAAAAGAGAGAGAGAGAGAAAATAAGAAACTGTTGCATATAACAAAAGTAGGAAAGTTTAAGGAAGATGTGTGTTAATGTCAGATGTTTTTGGTCTGATTGTCGTCATTCCAGGTATGATGTTGGGCTAATTTTTTTTTTTTTGGCCAAATATATATACACACTATAAATATTAAAAAACTGATACTCATGTTGTGGCTAAGATTCATCTGACATATGTATTGGGTGGGCCTGAATATCTCATGCCCTCTTTGTGGAAGGGAACCGAAGATTGTCGCACACCTTTTGTTTTCCTGCAGGGTATCTTGGTTATTATAGACGAGATTTTAAAGTTCTGGAATCTCTCATTGGTGGTGCATGAAAACCCAAGTGCCTTCATCCTTGCTTAGCATAAGGTTAGTATCTCTCATCCGGTGAACTCCATTTGGCATCTAATTCCTGCTGCAATTCTGTGGTCCATACGGCTGTACAGGAACGAATTAGTTTTCAAAACAGCAGACTGAATTTCCTGCACTTATTCTTGTAGTGAGGTTTCGTCTTGCTTCTTGGTACAAAGCAAAGCACCCGGAGGTTGGAACTTCTCTGGAGGATATAGTATCTAACCCTTCCGTGGTGGTTAATATCTCAAGTGGCATGTTAAGTAGTCGAACAGTGGCTTGGGTAGCCCCACCCGTGGTATTGATAAAGATAAATGTGGATGGCGCAATGCCACAAGTGGGGACGAGGGGTGGAATAGGGGGTATTTTTAGAAACGAAAGAGGAGAATGTTTGAGAACTTTTTCAGAGAGTATCGGGTTCGGGCCTCCTTTTCTCGCGGAGTTACTTATGATAAAGGTCGGTTTAGACACTTCCTTTCATGGCTATAACGGAAACTCGACTCGTAGTGACAGCAAATTGGCGGTAAACTAGGTTCTTAATCAAGAGACTTGTCTTGAGTGCTTCTCTGAGATAGTTGGTTACATTGCGAGTTACATTACTTCTAATAACGTTATTATTCGTCATATTCAAAGAGTGTGTAACGTAGAGGCTGACGCCATAGCAAAAACAGGGATAGGCTAATGGGAATCAGGAGCTGTTTGTGAGTTAGGGAGGGCCGTAGTTGTTTCTATTAAGATACAGGTGATAGCTTAGGCATTGGATGGCACTGGTTGCTTTGTACTTTGTAAGCTCGTTCTCAGTTTAAAATAAAACGTTGTGGAACTCTTTTCTTTAGGTTCTCCTGATATGAAGGGTTTTTTTTTTTTAAATGAGACTTACCTTTTTATTAAAAAAACAATCCTATTAAACAAAGCCAACAAATAAAAACATTTATATTTTTTTTTTTTATCTTTATATGTCATAAGCTTTTACACGTTAAAATAAATTTATCAAATTTATCGATCACCTTTTAGGGAAAAAATTGTCATTTTTCTTAATTAAATATGTATCTTAAAATTATGTGTATAGTCGATATAAGATACAAATTATGAGAAGTATGGAGTAATAATTAATAGTAGAGAAGGTGCTTCCGTTTATGATCACCAGCCGGTTATTGGCACTTGGAAACCCCCTCTCGATCATATCCTTCGTAATCCCTGAACTGTTCCATTGCTTCACGTCTTCGTGGATCCACCGGAAGTAATCCGGACAAGCTTCGGTATTCGATTCTTCGGGCTCGAACATCGACGGTTAATTTTCCGAACATGTCCGTGTTAAATCAACTACATATTCAGAGCAGTTTAGAGGACTTAATTAGTGATGTCATTGGGGGGTTTGAGAGGTTATATATCAGCATAGCATGCATAACAAAAATAAAAGAAAGCTGAGGCTGAGCCTGAGCCTGAGCCTGATAAAATTATAAAACCTCCCTCAAGTTTACTTTCCATTTCACTCATCAAAACTCAAAGATCAACCACCAAACTCCTTTCTCTTTTCATGGATGACTACGCAAATTTACCTAACAAACACACTAATTACGCTATTGGCAAACTCATGCTCTGCACCGCTATCCTTCTCTTCATAACCTTATTAACCCTACTCTACTTCAAAAACTATGCTCCCTTTACTCTTCACCTGTTGTCGCCGACGTCGCGCTGAGCACTTACTCCCTAGTTTCACTATGACCACTGCTCCGACCTCCGTCGTTTCTTCCAACGGTTTGGACCCCTCTGTCATTAAAACAATACCCACTTTTATTTACTTCGTAACGGTTTTGAAGGTCATCGCGACTTAATATTAACGCAATGTGATAAAATATTTTAGAAGTATTATGATTTTTAAGAAATAAATCACGTCCGCGACAACCGCAATACGTTACTAAACGTCTGCAGTATCCGCAACCACGAAAGATACCGCAACTGCTATTTTATACTATGACTGCATCGACATGTTGTTTCAAACTGTCCACTTTGTAGAGCTCCGGTCCAAGCTGATATCCCAGTCCATCCACTTAAACCGTTAGAGCAGACTGTCGTTTTAGTGGATGAACCAGCCGGTTCCGACCCTCATAATCAGGATATTTAAATGAATATTTCTTCCGCTGCTGCTTCTTCTTCTTCATCGTCTTCTTCTTTGTCGTCGCCTTCGTCACCAGTGAAGATGGAGCGTTGTCCCATGAGAACATTAGAGCTAGTGGGGGTGTGGAATTCTTGTGGAGGTGCTCACTGGAGAATATAGATAAACTGGTGTTGCAGATTTGTGTTCTGAGCGCATATTAATCGGACTGGAAGGAGTAAACTGTAGGAGAATCGTACGGGTGGCAAACAGGTTGTTTGAATCGGGTTCGAGTCGGACCATTATTATTTTTGGTCAGATTATTTCGGGTTTACACTATATTCATTTCAAGTTAAATTCGAATTTATTTAGTATTTAGTTCAGGCTATGGCAAGTCAGTTCCGACTTATGGTAAGTTAAGTAGTGTCAATTTTAAAATCAGATTTATATAAGATTAATTGATTTTCGGGTCAATCTTTTCCATCCAAATTCTAAAAAAATTTGTACATAGCATTGTTTAAAGTATACTTTAGGTACATGAAATAAAAAATTGAATATTTTATGTATTTATTTTGATTAAAAAATACTTTAGATACATATTTTAATTAAAAAGATAACTTTATGAACTTATTTTGATAAAAAAATTAAATATTTTAAAAAAAAATATTTATTTATAATATAAGCCTAAAAATTACTCTTAATTATAGGTTATTTTATGTTAGTACATATAAACACAACCGGTGGCAGACCCACCTTAAGTCTCGAGTGTACAAGTGCCCACTGTCCATCTTAAAAAAAAAAATTTAATTACCTATTTTATTAATTATATATATCTTGAAATTTTATTTATGTTCAACTCGTATAAAAAATTTATATTATTAATGCATAAATGTCTATCCTTAAAAATATTTTTAAACCAATCATTAAACTCAACCATCCAGATATTTGGATAGTCATATTTTAAGAACAATCATAATTATTTCAAATAGATATTTATTTAAATAATCTTGATTAATTAAAAGAACTAACAACTAATGGAGATTGATTCAAGTAGTAAGTAATTTGATATTATTTAAGTAGGTCTTAATAGATCCTTATGTATGCAAAAAATCCTCTTAGGAGACTCATACACCAAATTTAGGTATACGGTCCTGATCAGTCTGAACGAAATCTTAAAATCAGAAGGGCAAAAAAAACTAATAGAAATAAGTTTTCATTTATAACTTAGAGACCATCGTGAATGGAGGGAAAAAATGGCAAATTGTATTCATTGAAAATTTTCGCGTGTATGATTCTCTCGGCTATAAACAATGTTAATTTACATTCATTTTATACTATAAATGACGTAAAATACAAGCCTAAGGCGTACTAATTCTATCCTTCGGATAGCAAACAACGAATGCAGAAGCCTATAGAACATGATACTTTACAAAAATGAAATACAAACAAAATCACCTTATGGCCTTGGCTGATTCAAGATCGGATTCATTTCGACTTCTACGGCTGCAGACTCGCTCCGAGGCTGAAACTTTTCGGCTTCCCGTGCAATCTGAACATCACAAGGCGTGTAAAACTGATATAGAACTTTCACGACGAATCGAGGAATTAGTGCGGCGACAATGATGGAAAGTAAACACAACCAAAACAGTCCGGTTCGTGCGATTTGAAAGATGGCCCTGTTAAAACACAGACGTTGGCAAGGGTCAGAAAATATATACACAAGGAAAATTACTAGCTTCAAATGAATCTTTTTTATTAAAATGCATAGTTGGCATTCCAAGTTATGTCAACTCTTTAGCTCTAGAGCGGTAGGATCGATTACGCACAGGTCTTTTACCATTTCCCTTGGATGACCGGGCATGATCGGACCTGAGTACGTATCTGACATGAATAACCATATTGGTATGCACACATACAGAAGCACATCTATATGTTATATGGAGGTAACTAACACATCTATATGTTATATGGAGGTAACTAAATAAACTCAAACCTAAAAATCCATCCAAAAGAGCCCAAACCTAATCTAATTTGAGATGAATAGAAAGAAAGACCCAAACACAGAATCTGAAATAACCCGAACCCTAAAAAGTTTGAACATGAAATAACCTGAAGTCGAAACCGATCCAACCTGAACTCATGTGATACCTAGTTGCCACCTCTATATGTATTCCCTAGTACATATATTTTTGCAGAACATACTTTTGCTGTGTCAAAAACAATTATCTCAACTTGGT